TTATATCCTCTAATTCCTTGTGTTAATTCGTAATTTATTCGGTTTGGATTCGTGCAAATATTTTTCCTCGTCGGCACATATGATCAAAAAAGAAAATGAAAAATGAAAAAAGTAAAGGTAAAAGCCGCCCTTCCCTGTTGTTATATTATTATGCTCGAGCAAATATCTATCTGCGCGGAAGCAATTTGTCCACGATAGAAATTCAAACGCTTGGTATTTAAGGTCGATACGTACGAATCTTGTGTCGCACGGTTACACAATGAACCTGAACATCCATCAGTCAATGCGAATGCACTCGTTCGTTCTTGATAAACGGACGTCCACACTTTATGGGCCACCTGTTGCACCTACGCGCGACTCCTCGCCCAACTTTTAGTCTTTGCATTCGAATCCGCAAGAAAACATAGTTGTTGAGATCGTTTTCAAGCGATGGTGTTGATGTTTCGTTTGGAAACACGTCGATCGAAATAAGTAGCGACGCTCGCGATCTTTAAAAAAAAAAAAAAAAAAAAAAAGAAAGGAAAAGAAATCAGACACTGTAAACACTTCTCAAAAATGATTTTATTCTCCTCTCGAAATTTTTCGAGAAATCGTAATGGAACGAAGAGTTGCACGAGTAAAAGAGGAACAAAATTCTTGGACGAAATACATCTCTCGATACGAACTTTGAATATTCCGTAACTTTTTATCATTTTTTGCAAAATGAATAAATTTTTTATTTCAAAATAAATTCTCTTTTTCCATAATTTCATCTTTTCCTTCCTTTTAATACGTGTGATACAGAAGAAATCAAGATAGATAATTCTCCCCTCTCTCTCTCTCTTTCTATATATATATATATATATACATATATCTTTCTCTCGATCAATGAGAGAGCAATGTTGCAACAAATATAGAACAAGCACTGCTATTACTAGGGTAGATGGAGGCACGGTTTTAACACGGCTCGTGCATATCCCTAATGATTTACAAGCATTATTGGGTATTAATTTCAATCTACACTCGCAGGGGATGGAAGGCCATGTGACGTGACTCGACGCGGATATATCAAAAGGGGTAGGAAATTTGGTAACAGTGCGGGCGTTAGAGACAGAGAAAGTGCAAGAGATTCAAGGTGAAGAGAAAGGGAATGGTATATACATATACCCGTGTACCGTGAATAAGACAAGGATAGACAGAATTAGATAAATAGATAGATAGATCGATATAGTATAGATGGATGGATGGATGGATGGATGGATGGATAGATAAATGGATGGAGAGATAGAGAAAGAGGGAGGAGGGAGGGAGAGGGGGTTGCACGTGTATAGGAGAGGAGGGGGGGACAGCTCGACGCCACACGTCGCGGGCTACAAATCAACCGTTCCGAACAAATTATGAATGATATATTCGTTGTGCCCGCTTGATATATGCGTATCTCCCGTCGCTACCGCCTGACTACAGTCGTGGTAACGTTTTGAAAATTCGTCCATACTTTTCTAGGTAAACATTCGCTTTTATCACACGTTGGACGACGCGCGATACGAAAAAAAAAAAAAAAAAAGGGGGGAAAAAAAAAAGAGAGAGAGAGAAATCACTTCGAACCACTCGATTCCTATACCACCTTCCAATTCGTATTCGTCACGATCCGAATACCAATGACAGTGACGCGATAATCGCGAGAGAAATGGATTGAACGGCGTACAGTGAGAGAGAGAGAGAGAAAAAAAAGAAAACCGATCGATAACCACGCGTAACTTTATTAACCGTGTTAATCCTCGATCGATAATGTTTAACGTGTGTAACTTAGGTATCAACGGATCGTTGAATGGGTCAGATTTTCCGAGGAACGAATGATAAACGAATAAAAGATCGTACTTACTCGTAGAGTATATGTGTGTGTGTGTGTGTGTGTTGCGTGGCAATATATCCTTAAACTGGGAAACAGGGCGAAACCAGCAAAGTTGAAACGTTTTAAATATCGTCGATGTATACCGTGCCGAATTTGTACCTAACCCGCACGCAATAACTTGCCGCTATAAAAGCTATCGACAAATCAAATTTTGACATGATTCACTGTCCGGCATAAATTCCAGGATTCAAGCCGAGAGAGGCGACGCGACGGTGACACGGACATGTGTTTCATTCTCTCATTCCCTCGTTCCCCCGTTTCCTCGCCAAACTTTCCTCCCTCCCTGTCTCTATCTCTCTCTCTCTCTCTCTCTCTCTCTCTCTCTCTCTCTCTCTTTTTTTTCTCTTTATCGCGCACGTGACACGACTATTTATCGTTTTATACACCCGAGCTAGCAAACTTCGCTGCTATCGTTACTCGTTCGCCGACCATTCCCTCCGTTTGTCAATCTTTCGCCGTTTTGCGCGTTCTAATTTAGATAAAGTATATTTTCCTCGAGCAGAGGAGGAGGAGGAGGGAGGAAGAGGAGGAGGGGGAAGAGAAGGAGAGGAGGAAATACGAATCGAATATATCGTTGGGAGGAAAGGAAAAAGCTCCTTAGCAAGGCTTCTTGTATCTTTTATCCTCTTTTTCTTCTTTGCATACCCGCGGCAAAATCTGCAATTCGAGGTACGAAAGAAAAGAGTAGAAGGAAATCTAACGTTTCACGTCGGTTCGTTCGATGGAACTGCACAAAGGATCGTCGCGTCTTTGCCCCCTCTTTCTTTCCTTTTTTGTTAAGGTTAATCAACGGGAAAAAGCAGCCTCGGTGTCTACCAGCGAGAGAAGGGGAAAAGGGGAGGGGGAAAGACAGAGAGAGAGAGAGAGAGAGAGAATAAAAGGAACGGACGGATATAAAATTATCAAGAAGACGGAACAAACGATCGAAAACGAAACGGAAACCGTCGCGCACAGGATATTTCAATTCCAATTGCAAAACGTTTCGCAACGGACTTTGAGACACCGTGGGCAAAAGAGATTGCTAACAGACCAAATATCCTATCGTTTTCGAAAAAGCGAGAGAGCAAGAGGGGGCGAAAGAAGGCGTGAAAGAGAGGAGAGGAAAAAAAATTCATCGGCAATTTTCGATCCAGATTCTGATTACAGGTCGGGGATCCGTTGCGTCGAGTCGCAACCGGGACGAGCGAGAGATAAGGGAAGAGGTGCACGTGTTCGTCACGTACGATTTTTACGATCCTTCTCGTTCCACGTTTCTCCTCTCGTCTCGCGTTTCATTTTCTCTTTCTCTCTCTCTCTTTCTTTCTTCGTACGCGACGCAACATGAAAAGTAGCGAGCGCATTATGAGAGTTGGTTCGAAGACGTGTCGGTTTACAAACTCGTGTAAACTCTATTCCCGATCGTTGAATACGAATATTTCTAAAAAGAGTTAGAGTTGAAGAAGTAGAAAATGATACACGCGACTCGATTGGCTTATATTTATTAGCAGAGTCTTTTCACATTTTTCTGGTTTTCATACACGATTGAAAATGAATATTATTATATAATATATCAATTGTCGATTTGTTATTTTTTTTAATGCAGCAAACATTAGGATACATCGAATCAAGAAGAATAAAATTTATTCAATTTAATGTAATAATGTTTCTTTTTGAAGAATCGTATATAAATATATTACAAATTACATAGTAGTATTTTCGGAATTGATAAACTTGGAATAATTTCCAGTTATATCGATGATCATTCATTTTCAATCCTCAGATTGAAATAGAAAAAATATCTCGACAAAAAATATTTTTCAACTATTCCAAAATCCATTTAATTAAAAATATATATTAATAGAATATATTGAAATAAATTCTAATAAAGTATAACGTACTAATGATTCAATTTCAACCTAACCTAAAAATATTATTCGATGAAATTGTTGAACAAAGCGAATTTTTGTGTATCTTCCTTGGCAAAAAAAAAAAAAAAAAAAAAAAGATAAGCAAACGTAAAACTAATTTATATTTTCCCTCGAAAAAGAAGAATATAAATGGAACAAATCCCAAAATGTTTCTTTTTCAATCGAGTCACACTCGAGTCGTAATTTTTCGAATTGAAACGATACGATAATACGAAAATGCGCGTGTTCGAGGTGCGCCGTCATACCAAGTGGATCGCCAACATCGAAACACCATGAAACCCCGTCGAGAAAGTGGGTTAAAAAGCAAGTGGGAAACGCGCAGTTTGCGGGACCGGGTATCGTAACTCAGTTTCGTTAACTCGGTGGAACATGGAAGGAGGGAGGGAGGGGGGAGGGGGGGGATGGTGAGGAAGCGCGCTAGGGTTATGGTATTCGAGATAGCGAGGCGAGGCGTGGGTGGAACGGGGAAAGCAATCAGAACTTGGGCCATTGCTGGATATTACGGAGACGTGAGAGATGTCTCCTCAATCATATTAATTGCCGAGATAACCGGTGTGTGCTTCGATGGCGCCCACCACCGCCGCTCTCTTGGTCCACCTTACCACGATGCCGCCATCGAAAATTTTCCGTTACTCTCGATCGCCCCCATCTTCCGGCTAATTCTTTCTCCCCCCGATTGACAACCGGCCACGACGCTTGTGCTGTCGAGACGAAACGGATTGTAAATTAGTCACTTAGGTAGATCGTTTGTCTCGCGCTGAACACGATCTATGCATGTAATTGCGTGTATATAGGATGTAGGGAGGGAAATAGTTTCGCTTTGATACAGTATTTTATTTTATCTAAGATTTATCTAAGATTTATCTAAGAAGATTTTAATCGGTGGCAGAAGAGAATCCATGACTTGATTTTTTAAATTTTTTAAATTTTTATTTATGGAAAAATATTTTGCAAATATAGTTAATAATAAATTGGAAACAGTTAAAAATTATCAAGTAAACATTTCTACAAAAAATATCTACATCATTTGATCATATCATACTTTTACTTATAGAATAAATTTGATCCTTTACTTGTGTATAGCAATTTGAATAAATTTTAAACATTCTCAAACAAAACTTCATTATAATAAAAATATCTCGAAAGAAAACAATTTTCCAACCTATATTTGCAACTTTTTTTTTCTTGGAAATATAATAACCAATAGTTTAGCCATTTTATTTCCTTGACATTCCGCGTACAGCAATTTCCTTGGATAAAAAAAGAAATCGAAAAATACCTATGTTCATAAGACACTCTTTCTTCCGTTCTTAAAAAACAGTAGAAGAATACGAACAGCAAAGTTTGACCATCTATTTCTTTGGCACCTTATACCAGTAGCCACTTATTTATCTCCTCTCTCTCTCTCTCTTCTTTTCCCTCTTGTATCCACTCTTCCTTCTAGAAAACAAAGAAAAAAAAAACCAGTAAATTTCCGTTAGCAAAACTATGCACGTCGTCGCGATCGTAATAACCACGATCGCGTAACCTCGTGTCACAGGCGTTTCTCAAAAGAATCGCTCGTTGCGCGAAAAGAATCCCTGACGTATGCAACAGGTATCGCTCCCTTTCGTTCTCGCAAACCGATAACAACTGCTGAATCTTCATGCCGCTTCTCTGAGTACCATCGTCGAGAAAGATTCGCGATTTTTCAGATTCGCTGTCGTTATAGTCTTTTGTATTATAGTTGCCAGTTCTCTCTCAGAAAAAAATCATTGGCCGCCTTCCTCTCCTCTCCTCTTCGTTACAAGCACATCGTCTCGATTTACACCTTCATTTACACGTTCGTATCTGGAAAGAAGGAGGAATGAAGATACGCGCTCCACGAAATCGCAGAATCTTTTAGAAATTATATTATTGTGCGATTTTTCATTCT